ACAAGTACTCGGCATTGCATCTGCAGACTGAGTGGTAGAAACTGACGGACATTCTCCTTTTGGCTTGAAGAAGCTCTTTATTGTGAGAGTAGATGAGCCTTGAGGAAAAAAAAGAACATAAATCAAAGCGATAAATTTGACGATATGAAACTGAAAAAAAAAATCAAATGGGTACTACTGTAGTATTAAAATCCAATTTTGAGTTTTCTTAAGAATAAAAAATATCATAATTCTAGATTTTTTTCTCTTTTATAGTCTATAGTGTATATTCTGAAATATTCCATAATAATTGACAGGATTTTGTAAAACTCTATACAAATTTTAAAAACAAAATGAGCTTCCATCTGTGATAAATTGAAATTTTGGTTCTTCCTTCAATCAAGTAATACAATTTTTAATTCCATTTTTACCATTACGAAAAATAATTCTTCTGAAGCACTTCAATTCAAATAAATGTGTAATTCAACCTCACAGACAGTTGACTTGACGGGTGTGTACACTTAGCACACATTAACTAGTAAGCAAATAATAATATTCATCATAAAATTGTCAATAACTTTGCTGAAATAATAATCCAAGTCATCCCTCTTTCATTATAAATTTCTTAAATTAATTTCAATTTTTTTTCTTTGAGACTTTGTGACCCGGACACAAATCGGCTTGCGAACCCCCAGCAAGGCAGCATTTGGACAATTCCAATCACCACCAAAAAATTTGAAATTTTGAAATGGATAGCTCAGTGGAGTGTTCTGCCTATCACTTTCTATTTTCGTAACATATTTTTACATGATACAGAATGCTCTTGTTGTACAAAAACAAGTCAAGTTGGACATCAAACTGAGTCTGAGACTGAGTGAGACTCTGAGAGTGGTACCAACAAACTTTTAACTTGCAGTTTTTGTTTTACTCCTCTTCCCTTCTACATAATTTTGCTGTGTTTTAAGCGAGATAAATTCTACACAATACCTCTGAAATTGTGAAATTTTGTTGAAAATTTGTCAACAAATTACTGAAATAATTACTTCTGATTTTCCAAAACTCCGAATTCAATCATCTCGTGGGCGCCGTCATCTTGGACAGTTACGGAGATCTCGTAATAACGAGTTGGTATACCTTATGGAATTATGATTTAAAACCTTGATTTTACTACCAAATCTTTCAATTTAGAGGAAACATGTTTGTTTGGTTACCAAAAGATGAGCAATGCAATATTTCCAAAAGAAATGTAAACTCACCGCGTTGTTTGACTAGCTTTGTCTTGTGTTTTTCACTCTTCATGTGGCTCTTGACGGCTGCTTCGTCCATGTTGCTGAGACTAAAATTGCACATGCAAACAGCACATCTTGCGGTCGATGGATTTGAGCTTACTTTCATAATCCACTCACGATAAACGGGGTGCTCTAACCAAGCATCAATGAAATGACAGTTCCCTGGCATTTTGATTTTCACTTTCAAAAACTGTAGCAGTCAAAAGTCACAAAAATATTGCAATTTACAAATACTCAGCAGAAGTTATACAAGCAAGAGGCTAGGAGTCCTTGGTCCAAGAAGAAAAATGGTGGTCACACTACCAGAGTTACTTCAGTCACCATTTAAAGGAACTAAAACAACTCCTATAGAGAAGAGTCTGAACCTTAGACAGTTTCAGAAATGTGGATAGGAGAAGCTATATTCAACAAGATCTACAATTATTGTTATTTTTTTAGGTTTCATATATCTATGGTGTTTATGACTTGCTAATTTTTGTATTAATGAAAGTTATTATTTTCCTATATTGAAAATATATTTCAATAGGTACTTACCTCCCCTCACATGTATAGCTATTCTCATTCAGTGTTGCCCTCTATATTCAAAATTTTTTCACATGCCACAAGCCTTGAACTCCTACATACCCCACAATCAATGTGGTTCAACTGCATCTCACATGTAAATCATCATGCGACAGCCCTCTACCAATAAATATGTGACACCCTTCTGACACCTATGACTCCCTCTATTCAATTCTATCAAACTAACACTTCAAGATTAGGCAGAAAAGAAAAACGCCAGTTTTAAGTGGGGAGGAAGGGTGGGATGTGTGAGAGGAAGTAAGTATCAGAAATATATTTTCAGTATAGGAAAATAATAACACCCGATACAGTACATTACTTCCACTCATATGTGTAGCTATAATTCCACATTGAATACATGGAGGGACCAGTGGGAGGGGTAGAAATAAGTGTCCTTCAATAAGTGTGTGAAGAAAATCCATGCAGTGTGATCCCTTTTGGGAGAGGACACATGTGGGAGACCACACCATTTCTGTTCCAGGTATACTCTGTGCCCAGAGTAGAAATACATGTTGCATACATGAGCGGAAAGTGGGAGGAGAACAACCATAAAGGAGAAAAACCAGGTGGGTTCGAATCCAAACCACAATATACCGGGATCTCAATTCCCGTGAATAAAGACAGTAGAAGATCCACCTGCAGACAGAAATGTGGGAAAAGCTCAAATGGATGTACTCCAAGGTGTAGAGTGGCTAGTGTGCAACGAATCATATACTGCTGGTCAACTCCAATTCAAAACCAAGCCGTTTTGGGATTACAACTTCGACCCGTGGTAGGAGAAGGGTCCACACTGTCTTCCCTCTCAAATTGAATAGAACAGAATTATATATGTGTCAAACTGATCTACAATAGAGCACATGTGTGCAAATCCACAACCACCCATACATCCAGGAAACCAACATCTGAATGATGGGACAAAAGAATGTGCCAATGTGGTGGTTCACATATAACCAAATCCAATCTGACTGGAACCCGTCAGTACAACAGCTGCCTCAGACAGGGAAAAAACTCTGAGGTGGAGCACTATAGGGAGAACCTTCACCCCAAACAACATCATTCTCTGAATAGGACCACACAGAAGTTGGAGCGCATGTGTGCACAACCTCAACCTCCAGGACCCAATGTACAGAGGTTGAGAATATGAGGCAAAACTACAAAATTAAAGTGAGGATGAGGAATCACATGAGGATTTATGTTGATTGGTCCAGCTATAATCCAAAACCACACACTGAGATCTGTCATCCAGGTGATAGTAGGCTGGGGGTCCCAATCAAAGTGGTGAAGTACAATGTGACAGATCTACTCCAAAGAAACATCATCCTTAAGATAGGATTGCACAAAAGTTTGAGTGCAACATCAACCTCCAGGTCCCATTGCACTGAAGTGAATCACTTCTGTAAAATATATGCAACTTTACTCTCCAGATAAAACCACACAGAACCTGGGCACAGCATCACCCTCCAGGACCCACTACACGGAAGTGGAGCATACATATTAGGAATATGTGCAACACTCCTTCCCCCCGA